TTTTTTTATATATATATATATATAACCTTAAGGGTGAGTAAATAATGACAGATTTGTTTGATTTTGGGGTAAAATCTTACCTCCACAGTTCATGAGTTTTCGGACATTCGTTGTGGTCATTAAATTATGTGTTCTCAGGTAGTCGGCAAGTTGTCCTCCAATTGGCACAATGATGGTCATCACTAAATGAGGAAGTGCAGACACCAGCCCCACCTAAGCGACAGAAGAAACAAAAAGAGTAGTAATTGAACAAAAAATATCTTCATCCAGCTGCACAATACTCCATTATATGTGTGTATACTGTGTTTCTCAACTGGTTTGGTTTTAGGATAAATTTTACTTCACTGTCTATCAAAGGTAAATTCAATTTTCTTAAAATCAAACATTAAAATCTGTTAATATTACCTGCATAGGTCCAACAGTATGCTAAATTATTATTAGCATGAAACAGCAGCCATTCAACGGTTTTAGTTTCTGAATGTTTTATATTCTTGGCAGCCAGTAATTCACAGCACAAAACACAAAATCCATGTTTATTCTGATTTCCACTGGTATTTAATGTAGTCTAGGTTGTTTTATTATATATGCAGTTGCATTTTATTGTTTATATTTAGCATTGCTTTTTCCTGCTGTCTGCAACCTGTCATAACAGACCTGTGATTTATTTTTGGGTTGTGACCTGCCATGTGAGAAGGACCATTGCAGAGCATCATGAACACTTCGCTAATTTAAGTGTGTGTTTCACCTTGCTGATTTCAAAGCCAAACACCTCCTCGAAGTAAGCGGGCTGGCTGATGAGGAGTAGGTAGAATGTCCAGCTTCTGCAAAAGTTGGCCACGATGATGGCATACACCGGCATGGAGGTAAAGAAGTGCCGCCAGGGAGTGTTAAATTTCTGCAGGGCAGCGAAAAACCAGAGGTCGAACATATCCAGAACATTGCAGCATGTAGCAATTGAGAAATGAGAGAAGATTGTGATTGTGTGTGTGTGTGTGTGTGTGTGTGTGCACTTGTACAGCTATCTTTGTGAGGGCCAGTTTGAGTTTTAGACCATCGGAGTGAGGACAATCTTGTAAAGCAGGGGTGTCAAACTCATTTTAAATGAGGGCCACTTCAACATTATGGCTGCCATCAAAGGGCCGGTTGTCTCCAGCCAAAGGCATTGCAACAACAGCTCCGGCATATGAACCTATAACATACAGTTTCTTAGTATGCTTCCTCTTATTAGTACTATTCACTAACATTATCATCAATTTCAGCTTTTTACTAAATCAAAACTTGATTCAAGGTTCAAATAATGACAGAAACTCAATTCTATTGATTATATCAGCAGGTTTGTATAATTTATAGATTCAAATGATTGACACATCTTACCACAGAATGCTGTTGTTGCCAATCGACTTCTTTCAAGGGGCGGAGCCCATTTGGCCCAGATGCCATGACATGCAGGATATGACACGCCCTTCCAGTAGAGAAATAAACTGATTTAATGTGTATGCAACCATGATGGTAACAAAAGATTCCTTATCGGGATGCTATGCATTTGAATGAATAAAACATTAATATTTCAGACTACTTCAGATCCACACAAATCCACGCATGCACACAGATGGCATACCTCCACAAGCCCCTGGCAAACCCTGACCATGATAACACACCCATAGTGAACTCTTGCTGCTGCTGGGATCAGCATATTCAGCATTGACGTGGCTACAATGGCAAAGCCAAACACCCTGAGAGCAAACACACATGCAGTACAGTCAACTGAGGCCAAATCCCAATTAAATACCATGCTAATATCTCATCTTTTTCAGTTCATTGAATATTTATCAGGGTGGGTTTTTATTGTTGAAAGTCAATCTCTGTATATTAGCAAACATTAAAGTCCACCAGGGTCAAAAAAGTTAGCATTTTTGGCTTTTGCTGAACACACACTGTCATTATATAATTTTATTATATATAATCATATAATTTTTTACAACCCCAATTCCAGAAAAGTTTGGACATTTTGTGAAATGCCATAAAAATAAAGAATATGTTATTTGTTCATTCTCTTTCAACTTTATTTAATTGACTAAAGTACAAAGAAAAAATTCCAATGTTTTCACTAGCCAACTTAATTTTATTTTGTAAATATAAACTAATTTTGATTTTGATGGCTGCAACACACTCCAAAAAAGTTGGGACAGAGGCATGTTTAACACTGTGTCAAATTAGTCTACTAATTGTTAAAGTTTCGCTTGATTCAAGACTTCAGATGCTCAGCAGTCTGCGATTTTCAATAGGAGACACATTATTGTATTGATCTAATAACCATGGTCTTCCCATGAAAGACCCCATCTTGATGGCAGAATATGTCTCTGTACAAACCCAATATATGCCTCCATGTCAATGGTACCTTCGCACATATTCTAGTCACCCATGCCGTTTGCTCTGCTGCACCCCCATACCATGACAGATGTTTGCAATATATAACTTTCTCCTAGAGTAACAGAGATTCAAGTTGCATTTATTGATGCAGCGGCAGACAGTGTTAAGTGACAGCGGTTTTGCGAAGTACTCCTGAGCCCATGTGGCTATATTTAATACCACAGCATGTTTGTTTCTTATGCAATGCCATCTGAGGGCTCAAAGGTCATGCACATTCAACTGAGGTTTCTTGCCTTGCCCTACACAGACTGAGATTTCTCTGGATTCCCTGAATCTTTTCACAATTCTATGTACAGTAGTTGATGAAAGACCTAAACTCTTTGCAATTTTGCATTGAGAAATGTGATTTTTGATTTGCTTGACACTTCACTCATGAAATTTGGCACAAAGTAATGAGCCATAATCCAGCTTTGCTTGCAAAGACTGAGATGCTCCTTTTATACCCAAACAAGACACCCTCACCAATTACCAATTCACCTGCTTACTGTGAACAGTTTCAAAACAGTTTAATTGTGATATTCTATAACCTTTTCACTTTTATTTGTTGCCTTTGTCCCAACTTTCTTGGAGTGTGTTGCAGCCATCAAAATCTAAATTTGTTTATATTTACAAAATACAGTTAAGTTGGTCAGTGAAAACTTTGGAAATATTTTCTTTGTACTTGTGTCAATTAAATGAGAGTTAAAGATTTTATTGCATTTTACAAAATGTTCCAACTTTTCTGGAATTGGGGTTGTAATTATATATGGGGTGAGTTGCCACAATGCAACAACAGCCAGTGCAAAAGACAACACAAATTTGCATAACTGGACGTTTGACTTAATCGGACTCCTCCCACTTAATAACAAATTTTCATTTATAAAACTCTTGAGAAAAAGAACACTTGAGAGAAACATCAATTCGCTGATCACATTACCTGTTAGCTGCAAACTTTTGACATATGAATCCCCCGGGGATTTGCGTGACGATGTAACCCCAGAAGAATGAGCCATGTATCATCCCTACTGTCTCGGGGTCCCATGTGAACTGAGCAGACTGGGTGGGAAAAGACCGAGTCAAACTCTTTGCATCCAACTTATATTCGACAGCTTTCAATGCAAAATATGAGAATACTTCAGTCAAAGTGCACTGCTTGTACAATAAAAAATTATTACACATCATTATTCAAAGCATTAAATAACCTCAATTAACCTCAGTTACTTTTTCTGTTACGTTACAATTGCAAAAAAAAAAAAAAGTAGAGTAGAGTAAAATTAGAGAGGGAATGTCAGAAGGAGAGAAATAATCAATAAAGTAGTCAAATCAATCAGTAAATATAAAAGTAAGATAAAGTAGCCTAATAACAATAATAATAATACATATTTATATTTATTAAAAATAATATAATTACTAAATCTTATTTTCGCTGTCAATTTTATTTTCTCAGTCAATTTGTGGGGTAAATTGCTTTGCTGTGTTAAATTCTACAGTGAAACCTCTCACAGTGCACACTGGGTCGAGACAAAAATCTAACTGGTTAATAATAGTAAACTGGGATTTAAAGTGGCCAAGTCAGTTTGCATATATTTATGGACAATCCAGTCACTTTGTAAACTTGTTCAATGCGAGTGCCGTATGCTCGAATATGACCAGTCATTTATGCCATCACCCGGGTGTTGATAGCGTGCGTGCACAGGTGAGGCTTGAACAGCACATGTTGCTTTCTCTGTTTAAACTAAACCCATTTAAGCCTTGCCAGTTTCAACATTCAAGAGCCAGAAGACGCGAATGAGAACTCTTGCGCGCAATGAGAAGATTTGTGTGCACGCTCATCCGAAATGCCAAACCTGCGTCTCAGCAAGCGCGCAAAATTGAACTGTCTTTCAAGACTTGTGCTTGAATGGACAAATTCTCAAAAAAAAAATGTCAACATTCCTGTCTTGGTGAGTTTCCTAGCAGACAGAGTCGGTTGAACGTACAAATCAGTGTCCTGGTTCTGTGGTGCATTGTGATTGGCCGAACATCACAAGCACGCGTCGGAAATGTAACGCCCCTTCCCATCATAGTTGCCAAATCCGCGTATTATATGCGACTTTGGGTTTCTTTTTTTGTAAAGTTGCGTGAAAAAAATCCCAGGTTGCAGGTTGCGGTTTTATGGGTTTAGTTTAAAAAATATGGTTGCTTGTTAGGGAAATCTGACAAGCAACTTCGTTTCTTTATTTATGTTCGCCGTATTATCCAATGCATTGAATGACACTCTGTCTGCTCGCAGTTAATAGCCAACCAGTGCAATAATATAAGTGCTGCAGCGTAATTTGCCAAATGTTCCGCGCCCCCTCCCCCCTCATAAAAGAAGGTGCGTGCCGTGACTGTAATCCAAGCGATGACAGAAGTAGACGTAGAGGAGTCTGGGATGACTTTCTTTTAGCCTATTTTTTTATTTTTACAATGTTTTTGTAATGTATTAATTATCACGGGTGTTTTTGTAATGTATTAATTATAATACTAAGAGTAAATATGGTTCGAATAGCCTATATTTTAGTAGGCTATAAATATGTGGCTATGTTACAGCTCCCCTTTGAAGCTCTTGTGTTTTTCTCCTTTTCCATCTCTCCAATCCTATTCTGCACACAGGTGATTGGAGATGAGTTTTGTTCCCATTCTTGTAAAATATAGCTTCTGTTTTTGCTTTTCAGATAAAAGAGTGGTTTCAGTTTAATATGTTGCAGGCTCATTTATTGGTAATAAATAATTGATAATAAATAATATTGATGATAATAAATCATCAACAAAAATTGGGCTTGTTTTTGAAGCAGCGGTTGCTTATTTGTCTTGCGAGATTTGGCAACAGTGCTCACCATAATCGCGAGCTTCAGCTTTCAAAGTAAATATCAATACAGTTAATAATGTTGTTAGTTTGGCCATCAGTTCAAGCCCGAAAGGGCAACAGAGTCGCGTGACAGACACAGTGATGAAGCAGTACACAAGCCACGGTTAAGACAGCTGATATGCTATGATTTCTGACAGGCAGTTCACTCTCCTAGTGTTAGCTGCTATACGGAGCCTGTTTATTGTCTTAGTTTTGTCTTTTTCATAGTTTCTAGTTTAGTTTAGTCTAGTCTTGCCTTGCCTGTTTTCCGTGTATATATCGCTGCCTTTGTTTTTGGATTGCCCTGTCGTTTTGCCGTTTGGACTCTGTTTGCCCATGCCTGGACCTTTTCCTGTGTTCCTGGATTTATCCCTCTAGTCTCGCCCTTTTGATTCTGTTCGCCGATCGTTGACCTTCGCTAGCCCTAAGATTATTCTTGTGTCTTGCCCGCCATATACCTGTTTGCCATTGTTCGACCCTGCCTGTGTTTCTGACCTCTCTGCTTTAAATAAAGCTTGCACATGGATCCTCACGTTTTGTCAGCCCCATTACAATTGTATTTCTTTGTGCTGGCTTGTAGTAAGATTAATTGGTCTTATTTTCTTTAATTTTATTTTTTTGACAGTATAGTCCTTTTTCCCCTAAACATAATACATACCCTCACGGTAACGAAATGGTGACAAAACCGTGATACAAAGCGAACCGTGAATAATTTGAATCGTTATACCTCTAGCCATGCTTAATGAATCTTACTTGTATCTTGGATTTTAAAAAAGGCCAATAATAAACAAAAAATGCCCAAACAACTATTTCTTTGTTCTGTTTCCAAATAACTTTTCTGACTCCTGTCCACTCTTCATGCACATAGGTAAAGTGGATGCACTTTATTAATTAAGTTGAATTCCAGCAGTGACACTGACCACTATGACAGGTTTCTTTCCGTAGAACACCGTATGGTCGTTGACCATGCTGACGATGGCCACACCCAGGTTACAGCGGATGCCGAATGAGATGCAGAAGCCCAGGCCTGACAGCATGGCGATGATGTAACGACGAGGCAACCCGAAACACGTGCAGTCCACGATGGGAAGCTCCTTCTCCTCCACCAGCTCTGGACGACCCTCCGCTGACAGCTCGATAGTCTCGCCATTCTGCTGCCGTTTCTCGAGGAGTCTGGATGTGGACACAGAAAGTATAACATCAACGTAAATTGAGTACACATAAAGAGCATAACAGTGTGTAAAGATTTTCTCGATTCATGTAAAATATTAATAATACTAAGAGTAAATATGGTTCGAATAGCCTATATTTTAGTAGGCTATAAATATGTGGCTATGTTACAGCTCCCCTTTGAAGCTCTTGTGTTTTTCTCCTTTTCCATCTCTCCAATCCTATTCTGCACACAGGTGATTGGAGATGAGTTTTGTTCCCATTCTTGTAAAATATAGCTTCTGTTTTTGCTTTTCAGATAAAAGAGTGGTTTCAGTTTAATATGTTGCAGGCTCATTTATTGGTAATAAATAATTGATAATAAATAATATTGATGATAATAAATCATCAACAAAAATTGGGCTTGTTTTTGAAGCAGCGGTTGCTTATTTGTCTTGCGAGATTTGGCAACAGTGCTCACCATAATCGCGAGCTTCAGCTTTCAAAGTAAATATCAATACAGTTAATAATGTTGTTAGTTTGGCCATCAGTTCAAGCCCGAAAGGGCAACAGAGTCGCGTGACAGACACAGTGATGAAGCAGTACACAAGCCACGGTTAAGACAGCTGATATGCTATGATTTCTGACAGGCAGTTCACTCTCCTAGTGTTAGCTGCTATACGGAGCCTGTTTATTGTCTTAGTTTTGTCTTTTTCATAGTTTCTAGTTTAGTTTAGTCTAGTCTTGCCTTGCCTGTTTTCCGTGTATATATCGCTGCCTTTGTTTTTGGATTGCCCTGTCGTTTTGCCGTTTGGACTCTGTTTGCCCATGCCTGGACCTTTTCCTGTGTTCCTGGATTTATCCCTCTAGTCTCGCCCTTTTGATTCTGTTCGCCGATCGTTGACCTTCGCTAGCCCTAAGATTATTCTTGTGTCTTGCCCGCCATATACCTGTTTGCCATTGTTCGACCCTGCCTGTGTTTCTGACCTCTCTGCTTTAAATAAAGCTTGCACATGGATCCTCACGTTTTGTCAGCCCCATTACAATTGTATTTCTTTGTGCTGGCTTGTAGTAAGATTAATTGGTCTTATTTTCTTTAATTTTATTTTTTTGACAGTATAGTCCTTTTTCCCCTAAACATAATACATACCCTCACGGTAACGAAATGGTGACAAAACCGTGATACAAAGCGAACCGTGAATAATTTGAATCGTTATACCTCTAGCCATGCTTAATGAATCTTACTTGTATCTTGGATTTTAAAAAAGGCCAATAATAAACAAAAAATGCCCAAACAACTATTTCTTTGTTCTGTTTCCAAATAACTTTTCTGACTCCTGTCCACTCTTCATGCACATAGGTAAAGTGGATGCACTTTATTAATTAAGTTGAATTCCAGCAGTGACACTGACCACTATGACAGGTTTCTTTCCGTAGAACACCGTATGGTCGTTGACCATGCTGACGATGGCCACACCCAGGTTACAGCGGATGCCGAATGAGATGCAGAAGCCCAGGCCTGACAGCATGGCGATGATGTAACGACGAGGCAACCCGAAACACGTGCAGTCCACGATGGGAAGCTCCTTCTCCTCCACCAGCTCTGGACGACCCTCCGCTGACAGCTCGATAGTCTCGCCATTCTGCTGCCGTTTCTCGAGGAGTCTGGATGTGGACACAGAAAGTATAACATCAACGTAAATTGAGTACACATAAAGAGCATAACAGTGTGTAAAGATTTTCTCGATTCATGTAAAATATTAAACGCTGCGCTTAAACCTTGGTTATCGTCGTTCTAACCCTGCGTTTAACTCCAGGTATAAACGTTTCACGCTTGTAATTTAAAAGCGGGGTTAGCACCGCTTTTTATACCTATTCCAAAGCAGGCTTAGAGCGGCTTTTGCAGTGTGGTGACACTCCTGTAGAGTGTGATGTGTTACGGCTAGATGCTCAGCAACAGACATCTAGTCGCATCCCTCATATTGACATGCTGGACATTGGATTTTCAGAGAAACATAGCACATTGTATAAACAGTCGTTTCAGCATTTTAAGGGTAAATTGTCAAATTTTGAAGGAAAACACATAAATTGGAGTAAAATAAATGTATGGAGTAAAAAAAAACATAACCCTTTACCCATGGTTTAGAATGACACATTGTTAACTATTTCAGGGGAGAAAAGCCCTTTAGATGGCCAAAAGTTCAAAAATACTTTAATCCAAAGCAACTATTAGGCCACATACTATGAGGATAGTCCTGGATTAATCTGAGGTTAAGTGTCTTACTCAAGGACACAATGGTATTAGTTTACGTCTTGCTCCTTGTGGGGTCAAACCAGGTCAATTTTGGTTACCAGTCCTGAGCACTACCCTTTACACCTCCCCCTGAAAGTTACTGATAGGAAAAATGTTGCAGCCAGTTTAGGTGTTTATGCATCACATGCTTAGCTTTTGTATATTAAAATATATTATGAGCAGATCATGTATGGAACTAGGATACGAAGTCACATACACTAGGGAACCCTCATAGGTCATAAAACTACATCACAAAGCACACCTAAAAGCAGGTGGGATGCAGAGGGAAGACACAGAGGGAGAGAGGACATGGAACAAGAATGAGGTGTCTCACTGGATAGCAGTACATGGGAGTCTAGCAGAGCCCTAAAGAGAGACCATCTGGGTATGCAACCTGTCTGCAACGTTTACAGCCAATAAAAACATGCTTACATAGAAGCACACAAGCAAACACTTTCACAGACATATGCTCTGAAGTTTACAATAAGTCTATGAAAATCTGTCCTATATACTGTATATGTGTGTGTGATGTGTGTACCTGTTTTTCTATTCTGGTGGGGACTTAAACCTGAATACACAGAGACTCATGGGGACTCGTGTCACGTTGGGACCTAAATTAAGGTCCCCATGGGTAAACAAGCTAATAAATCACACAGAATGAAGTTTTTTTGAAAATCTAAAAATGCTCAAAGTTTCCTGTATGGGGTACACTCTTAAAAATAAAGGTGCTTCAAAAGGTTCTTCAAGCGATGCCATAGAAGAACCTTTTTTGGTTCCACAAAGAACCATTCAGTCAAAGGTTCTTTAAAGAACCATCTCTTTCTTACCTTTTTGTAATCTGAAGAACCTTCTTTCGCCACAAAGAACCTTTTGTGAAACAGAAAGGTTCTTCAGATGTTAAAGGTTCTTTATGGAACCATTTAGACAGAAAGGTTCTTCTATGGCATCGTGAAGCACCTTTATTTTTAAGAGTGTAGGTTTAGGTGTAGGGTTGGTGTAGGGCAATAGAATATACGGTCTGTACAGTAGAAAAACCATTACGCTTATGGAGAGTCCCCACAAGGATAGCAAACCAGACGTGTGTGTGTGTGTTCAACTACCATTCAAAAGTTTGAGATTAGTAAAATATTTTTAAAAAGAAATTAATACTTTTATTCAACAAGAATGCATTTAAGTGATCAAAAGTCAAATGATTTCTGTTTCATGTAAATGTTACATGGTTTTCAGATAAAGTAATAATAAGACAGCTTTACTTCACAGGAATAAATTCACAGGCTCTAAAAGCTGCCAGAGCCGAGCATATCCACAAACTCATAGAATATAACCAAAACAATCCAACCTAGATGGCAGGGCTTGCGTGGCTTATGTAGCCGCCGCCTGATGGGGTGCAGGTGTGACCGATCAGCCTGTGATGATGGCCAGGTGCTCCTTGTTTCCAGGGTGACGCTGATGAAGGCTCGGGACGCTCGTCACACTCC